GGCTTTAATATATTTGGCTTTCTTTGCCGAGGCTTTCAGGCACTGCCCTACAGAAAAGACACACAGAAAACCTGGGATACAATGGGAACTTTCCATCAGCATTTCATGGCCAAAATTCTTGGCCCCCCTGTACTATATATACATTTCTACACAGCTGCAGGAACAGAAATGAACCCCAGTTTGGGAGCAAGTTGAGAAGCTTTACAGTTCATAACCGATCAAACCACACTGAAAACATAAACACAGTGCAGAACTTCCAAAAGGCTGCTCCTCCCCTTTCCCTAAGATAGATATTGCGAGTGGGGAGCTTGCGAGCTTGTTTGCCCATTCGAAGCGGAAGCAGGGGCTGCCAATAGTCACTAGTCACTAGTCAAAACTCAGTGTTAAATTCTGTCAGGTGAATGCAATCCAAAGCCTGATAGTGACTTTGACTGCCGGCTTCACAACTGCTTCACCGATATCGAAGTTGACCCAGCAGCTGTTGCAACTGGCCGAGTTACTTTGGAAGCCCGCGCTTCTTCGTCGAAAGAAGGTGTCCCAAACCGAGTGACTTAGTGTGGGTAATTGGGTAAGTTATCGATCTCGATAACCAGAGTTCGTGCATCGGGTAGTCCTAGTCGACGGGCGGAGCCGCCAGGGCGACGTGCAAGACCTCGAGCATAGAGTTTGTGGTAAGGGCCGAGCGGCTGAGTCAGTGAGAGGTAAGCAAAACATGAGGTTTCTGAGCTACTAGGAGCAAGGACGCTACTAGGGGCTCCTGGCCATACTACTAGGAGCAAGAAGCTACTAGGGGCTCCTGGCATCGCTACTAGGAGCAAGGACGCTACTAGCACCTCAGTTTGTAAGATGCTGCGAGTGCTTCTGATCCAAGGCTGTGCGGACTCACAACGCTTCCTGATTGCACTATCATGCACTATCCACATTCTCACATTTGGATGTTGTCAGGGTATGCCGTTTGGCGTTTGACCAAGCTGGATGAAATTCAGTAGTTTGCGCACAACAGTTCGACAGTTGGATTGCATTGCATTCAAACGAGTGATAGTTCACATGAGCAACATACTTTTTACATTTTCGTTTCGAAGCGGGGCCCCACACCGCGCCAGACTATGGTGATTCTGCAATTCAGTGCTAGTCGTAGGTTCGTGCTAGGTTGGCGGAAGGTTTCATATCCACAATTTGCAGGCAGGTGTGTTTGTGTGTTGCCAAAGAATTTTGGACAATGAACTTCTCTTCTCCTTTTCTCCTTCCTGCCTCCTCTCTTCCCTCACTCACTTGCTCACTCAAGTGCCAGTGACTTTTGCATTAGCCGCGCGCTAGCCGAGAGACGGCAGCCCACTTGGTGACCAGAGTGGTGCACTCCTCATCTATCTATATATGAATGTATATATATATATACACATGTGATTCATTTTGGCATGTTTGCTGAAGCTTAGTCAGATAGCAGCCAGAGCACAGGCGCCAATGCACGAATCCAGCAACGGCAGCAGCAACTCTTGAACATTTGTGCTAGATACGTGACACAGCTGTTGAAGTTTAGAACCATGCATGTGTAAACCGCACAGTTTAGAGGTGGGCCCTCACCAGGTTTGGTGGCATGTTTTGACTGCCCCCCAGATGCAAACATGCTCAAGTAGCAGTTGCATCCAAGGATTGTCATTGCAGCCGAATCCATGGCATTTGCTACTCTGCTGCCTTGGCAGCGCTGGAGGAGCTCGAGGGTGAGAAGGTCACGGACCCGAGATATGGAGCCTTCCTGGTCCTCACACTCACACCTTTCGTGGCGAATTCTTCTCAGATGTCGAGGTGCCCAACTCCTCGCTTCGCCGGAGTACCCCCATTGACCACCGGGCGCCCAACTTGAAGCTCGGAAAAGCCTCAGCTGCGTCCAACTTGGGTTTCTGTTGTGATTTTTGCCAACAACACATTAACATACAGAACCTTAAACGATCTTAAACGGTCAAAAGAGCATCTTGAAAGTCCACCGCCCAGGGGAAATGTTGCCTCAATGTTGCAATGCACCGTAATTACTGGGTGCTTTTGATGACCATGTCAATGTTGTGACAAGTGGTACACTGGGGGTTCGCTGGCATATTTTGTCACGTGTTGACTTTTCATGACTTTACTCTATGAGCCAAAAGCTGGGCGGGACTAAAAGGGTCAACAGGGCATAGTAGTGATTAGTGGGTATAGTATATAACAGTGTAATAATGTGTAATATTTATACTATGTTGAGGTGACAGCTAGGTGTGGCAGTTCGTTTTTTTGCGGGGACCATGAACCATGCGCCACAATCCAAGAGGAACAACTACTGTAAGAAGTTCACGGAAGTGAGAGTGAACCAGCACTCGATATTCTGATCAAGGAGTGAAAGCAGTTGGTTCGAGTTCCTGCCGCAAGCGGCCTAAGAGTAAGACACCAGACATTCTTTCCTAAACTACCTGACCGTACGACCGGGATATATAATTACTCTGCAGAGAGGCAGAGGGAGAGAGGGAGAGAGAGGGAGAGAGAGATACTTTTCTCGCCTTCGTTCCCTCGCGGTACTTCTTCAGTCACCCTCAAGCAAGCTGCAGCCTTGAAAGGCCAGATGAGCCAACAAGGGAGATTGAGGAGTCAGGACACTTGGCCCACCTGCTGAAGAAAACACATACGCGCACCACGCACCAACATGTTTTTCATGTATATATATGTGATGTATGCAAGCAACTATATTTATACATCTCTCTCTATATCTACTGTATATATATAATTATAGAACTCTAAGTTCATGCATTGATTTAGTTCCCGCGGTTTCAAGCTTTCTTTCTGCGAGGAATTCCGGGCTGCAGCTGCCAGCAGCTGCCCATGACATGCAGTAGGGCCCCGTTCGATGCCACCACGTGGCACAACTCCGTCAATAGCTTTGCAAAGCCGGCAGCTGTGAGAAGAAGGGGAGCTGAATGTGTAGACTCTGATGTTCTACTGGGTAGCTTGGATTGTGTTGGGCTCATAAACAGCAAATTCTTGGAGCTTTACAAGGCATTTCAATTTACTGCATTTGGGATGATGGATTGATCGACCAAGGAATTTCAGTGTCATTGCCACTGTGCTTGCAGCTGTGTCGCGAAGTGCCCAGCTGCCGCTTCGTGGCCTACGGAGTTCCTCCTCCAGAAAAACTCAAACTCGTAATGGCTTCAACTTTCTCATGTTCCGAGCAGGGACGCTGCTAGGGGCTCCTGGCGTCGCTACTAGGAACAAGAAGCTACTAGGGGCTCCTGGCCTTACTACTAGGAGCAAGGACGCTACTAGGGGTTCCTGGCCGTACTACATTCTCTTCACCTTACATGCAGTGAAGGTTGGGAGGAAGCGTGGGCAGTGCCACTGGGAAATTGGTGACTGCTTGGAATTCGAAGATGACTTCTACAATGCTCCTGATCGGCACTTCTTGTCGCATTTTTTCTGTAGAGATCGTTTACGAGCAGAAACTTTGAGTGTGGAAAGGAACCGTGCTTGAGAGCTGAGGTGTATGCTCCTTTCCAGCACGTTTTGCGCTTTTCCAGGTCTTTTCAGTGTAGCAGAGCCGTTGCTTGACGATTTATATAACTGATTTAACTTGCTTGATCTGAGGACATAACACCAACGCTGGGAGTTTCGCAGATTTCGGCAATTTCTCGCACGGGGTGCTCTACAAGATGTGCGCTGGCGGCTGAGGCTCAGTTTGCCTTTGGTGTGCTTTGTTATGTTGCAACTGCTACGTAATTGTTTTGCTGCTTTATTGATCTCACAGCTCAAGGAGGACAGGCTTGGCCCACCAGACGAAGGTGTTGACCTCCTCATCACCGAGGAAGGCGCGACCAAGAGATGTGGGAACGCAGAAAGCCTTCAAGAAGGATCAAGAAGGAAGCTTTACAGTACAAGAAAATTCAAGGAGCAAGGACGCTACTAGGGGCTCCATTGATCACATGAGTGCAGTCGCTGTGCAGGCTGGGGGCTGAGCTCGGCAAACTGGCTTATTCGACGAAGTGACTGGAGCATCGTGCCTAGGCCGTAGGATGCCGTAGGCTGGTGGGCAGTTGTATTCAGCCTCTTCGTGTGCAAGCGAGCTAGCAAGTCGATATACTCACCTCAAATTTCACATTGTAGATCATTGTAGCACAATCGTGGTACTGAAGTTGCCTGGGACATGTAGGTATCAAGGCAGCCGGGCAAGCAGGAAAAAGGTAGAGCCAAACTTTGAGGAACAGGCGGAGCTGTGCGGCCTTAGTGAGCAATGAACATCGCCTTTCGATCCAGTTCAATGAGGACTTCTTGGAGCGTGCCTTCCGCCTTTGTCACAGCGACATGCCGCTGTTCGGAGATCAGGACACGGAACATTTTTGGGTTTGATCGATTGAGGCTTTGCAATCTCTTTTTCTCTTTCTTTTCTCTATTGTTCGTTCTATTTTTCTGTCCAGTTTTGTCACCAGCTTTCAGAGCTTTTGGCATTTCGATTGTCAAGCTGATGCAGAAATGGAGGATGCCATGATTGAATTGCTGCTGAATCCGGGCTCGCTGTCTCTTGGAGCTGCAGATGACCGTGACCCGCTGGACTCACACGCGGCGCCTTGGCCAAAGCATGTCAAAAAGGGATGACGGCTACATTGGCATACAAACCAAGTGGACGCCTGTCTGCATTGGAAAATCAGGCTTGCAGGTGTCCAGGTGATGCAGATTTGTAGCCGATTTTGTGAGCCTGGCTCTCTACAGTTGCAAGATGTTCATGGATGTTTTTGGAACCTACGCCAGCAAGTGAATTCATGATGTATGCCATGTAGGTCATTGTCCCCCAGCGTGAAATCAACGCCTACGACGTGCCTCGGTGGAAACTCTTTGTCATGATGCACAGCGCGTTCTGTTGGATTGCTTTTGTGCTGCTTCGCCATTTCGCAGCCTCGGAAATTTGCAGCTATTTGAGCTCAAAGCGGGTCATGTCAGCGAAGTATTTCCTTTCAGCACCCTAGCAGGCCCTAGCACACAACCTGATGCAGTGTGGCCAGACTGGGTTCGGTGTTTGGATGCTTGTCGAAGCTCAAGTTGTTTCATCGATACCGTTTGCAATCCTGTGCTTCCATGATGTCAAGTGCTTTCCAAGGACGCCCGTGAGAGTTTGGAAAGCCGCAGGTGCAGGAAAGGTTGTGTGTACCCAGCCATTGGACTCGAGCTCCTCGCGCAGTTGCTGGCAGAGAGCGGGTATATCCTTCGCATGGGCAGTGTGGCTGCACCAAGGGTCGTCGAACATGGGTTGAAGGCGTTTGTTAATTTTTTTGGATTTTGGATAAGCTGAAACAGGCTCGAAGAGTTGGGCTGGTGCTTCTGCATACCCTGCACGATCCTGCAAGCACCTCTTTGTTGGCCACCATCCAAACCAACATAATTATTGTATTGTGAACAATCTATGAACATCTATGAACCTATGAATGAACAAGAAGGAAGAAATCTATCTTACGAATTGTGCTGCCTTACATGCTTCCCATGCATGACTTGCCGCAAGCTTCCAAGGTCATTCTCGTTGGCAGGGGCAAATATAGAGCACCAAGCCGACGGTGTCGTGCCATGTCCAAACGTCTTTGAAGCTGGCTGCAGTGTTTCCTGGCAATTCTTTTCCTTTCTATCGTTTCTGTTTGGGAAACTCTGATGGCCCAGCTGAATTCCAAGGGAACTGTGGCCACTCAGGTAGACTTTCGCAGCGACGCTCCTTTGAAGTAAGACAGCTGGGATCCAGTCCACTGCAAGTCACCGAACCTTGCTTGGGTACGATGACGTGGGGAATTCAAAACAGCAAGGAGGAGGCTCACAAGCAGCTAGACTATGCAATCAATGAGCGACTTTGCTTCGACTTACGGAACTGTTTTGAGAAGAGCGGCCGTGAAGACTGGAGGTCCGCTGGGGGTTGGCAAAATAACTAGGGTGCAGAAGGAAGCTACTATGTAGTAGCAAGGATACAGAAGGGCTCGGGTGCTTCGATTCTTCTTTCTGACACGTCTCCTGCCTGAAAGGGCCCTTACATTCTTTCTTTCTCAATCTCTTACTACCCTTCTGGAAATGGTTCCTAGATTTTAAGGGATAAGTGGATGCCTTTGGATGCCTTCTTGCCTTGCTAAGGAGAGGCGTCAATTTCATTGACACGGCTGAAATGTACCCAGTGCCAAACTTCGATCCACAATGGTGTCCAGGCAAGGTTCTGAGAGACCCAATGGCAGCCGATGGCACCTGACAAAGCTTGACCCGATAGCATGTAATTGCATTTGCTTGATCCGTAAAACTTTCATGCTATCGTTACCATTGTATGATCACATCCCGGCCGCTTTTCATGAAGAGGGCTGCCTTGTTTGCTGCCTTGGAGGCCGCACTGAGGAGTACATTGGGTCTTGGTTCGAGGAGAACCCTGGCTGGCGTTCCAAGGCCATGAGCATTTTCCTTATTGGAGGTATTTGGATGGTTATTGCACTAACATCGCACTTCAAATACTGACAGGTGGTGTTGGCATCCAAAATTGCGGTGGCCTGAGTTTTTGCTCCCATGCCAATTCATCCCAATTCGCCGTACATGTCGATACGCTGTTTGATCATCAAAGAAGCCAAGAAAAGACACGCAATTTCACAGACTGTGGATTTCAGCTTTGGTTGGGTTCGGGGTGGTTTTGAGTGTTTGATTTTTGTGCTTCTGTCTCTTTCAGAGTGTTTCGGCAGACTTTGTGCAGACCGCGTGAGTGTTCTTATCCAGGCCGGATATTGGCCCAGGAGCAGGGCAGCAGCTCGCAGAAGTGAACCAGAAGGCGATTCTGAAAGCTGGCCGGATGCGCGGGCAGATGCAGCATCAGTCAGGTGAGGGTTTAAGCCTGACGAAGCGGTCATGACAATTTGGTCATTAGGGACAGAACATGTTTGGCGCACCTCTTCCAAAGGTCAGGATGGTGCGCTAAGTTAGTTTAGTTCCCTTCCCTCAGCAATTTTGTTGCACGCAGTTTGGCATCAGGCAGGCATGCGAGGCCTCACTTCGCCGCTTGAAAACCGATTGTATTGCTTCTTGGCAAAGTTTTAAGATGTTTTAAGATTATATGGTACATACCGTGGATGAATCTAAATTAGATTAAACCTACCAAGATGTCCAGAGACCAAGTTAGAATGTCCTCTGCCAAGTTTCGCCATTGAAACGGTCTGAGCAGTGTGAGCTCCACACCCTCAGCTCTCCTAATTTTCTCGAGCAAATCTGGGACCTGGAGCAGTGGCTCATGAGGATCTATACCAGATTCATTGGCCAGATCGCTATGTTCCCATTTTTGGCCAAACGGAGTACAAGTGCGCAAACGAGAGGAAACCAGTCTTGATTGAGGCAGGAGCTTGATTTTCTCAATCTGGGAATGCCAACCGATTTTCTGTCAATGCTTTTGTTGAGTGCTACACATGGGCTTCGTGCGGACAATCAAAGTTTGTCAAGTTGGCTTTGGACAATTGCACATGGTTTACTAGGAACAAGAAGCTACTAGGTTGTGTTGGAGATAAAAAGCCGCCAGGAAACAGCTGCTGCTCTCAAGGACCTGATGCAGGAAGGCAAGATCAAGGCCTATGGTGTTTCCAACGAAACCACCTTTGGAGTTTGCGAATGGACACGTGCAGCCCAAAAGCTGGACATGCCACCACCAGCCAGCATTCAGAATGCCTGCTCACTTGTGGTACGCCTTTTTGAATACGAACTGGCTGAAGCCTGTGCCACCTCAAATTTCAATGTTGGCTTGCTGGCATATTCCATTTTGGCTGGAGGCTTGCTGTCTGGCAAGTACCGTGGAAACAAGCAGCCAGCTGAATCTCGCCATACAAAGTATCCGAACTTCATGTCCAGATGGAATCCAACCAAGGGCATTCCACAACTTTCAGAAGCGGTGGAGGGCTATGCAATGATTGCAGAGGAAAACGGAATGTCACTTACGGAGCTCTCAACCCGTTGGTGCCGAACACGATCTTACTGCAAGCACGGCTCAGCCACATGGCTCTCGTAAGTGCCTTCTGTCACAAGCCCTTCTAGAATGAGTACCTTTCGTAGGATGTAGTTTCAACATTTCATTAACAACATTTTTCTACTGTAGACTGCATGTGACTGTAACGTAACCCAATGTTTTATTAAACTATCAACAGTAGCAGTAGCAGTCCTGCCAGTCCACCTACTGTAGCAGCTGACTCGCTTTTTCGGATGGCCCCGCCTTTTTACTTTTCCGCCAGATGTGGGAGGCCACAGGTTGCAACCCTGAAAAACAAATCATGCAGTAATGGTACACATGTGCACACTGTACGTCATCATGTCACAATGATTTGTTGAAATTGCAGATGCAACACTGAATGTGGAACTCACACGTCCAAATTTGCCCAAACATCAAGACAGTTACACCTGGTGGCGGTTAGAGGCTCTTTTTGAAGAACCCTCTAATCATTGCTGGGGGCAACTGCTATGCATGCAGACAGGTGATCATTGGCGCTACCAATCTGGACCAGTTGAAGGAGAACCTTGATGCCTTCGAAGGTGACGCAGGACTTTCGGAAGAAGTTCTTGCCCAGATCGATGACATCCATTTGAAGCTCCGCAATCCCGGAACCTTCTTATAGCTTTCAGAGGAGGAAAAGGAGCAACATAGCAGTAGGTGCATCTTAAAATAAAAAAAATGGATCGCTGGGTGTGTCGTGTCCAAATACACAGCAGAAGCTTGGCTTAAGCAGTGGCCCCAAACCCTGACACCAAAGACGCAGTGACCAGTAGCCTGACTTCACAATTTCAGCAAAGCTGGGCCTTTTTCTACAGCATGCGTAGACAAAACTGTCTTGAGTTTTAAGTCTCAACACAGACCTAAACATATTTCCAATATACTATGTTGATTGATTGATCGAATACTACCCTTCTGCTATCAGATGCTATGGCTAGTCACTCTCGTGACTTTTCCTTCGGCATTGGCAGTGGATGGCCAGTCTTTCAAGGCTAGTGACGAGGAAGCGGACAGGTGTGCGGCTCAGTGTGCATCGCACCAAAAGATACAGTACTCATTCTGTTCCTTAAGTTCACTCTCAGGGAAATGCGTCCTACATCGCATGCGGCGCTGCAGAGGAAATATCAATATATCCGCAAGCACATAGATGTACAAATATATGCATATATATATATATGTATTCAAAAAGTATATATATAACTATATATATACATGTAATAATGTGTATATATATATAATCTATATATTATTACTATATGAGATATGCATACATATGGTTTTCGTTTACACCCGTGCTGCTATGAGGATATGGAATGATCCGAATTGCGAACGCACGGCGAACGCCTCGGAAGGGATCGACTGGGACCTCGCAAGGCTGGATTCACCGGGCTGCTTGCAACGGCAACCGGTTGCGTGAATCTGAAAAGGCCACAGAACTTGGATGTCTTATAATGAAATCACGGCAAAGTCGAGCAGGTACCAGTTGCTGCAAGTCCCCTTCCCTGAGAGCATGGCTGTGATTGGGCCATTGGTGAAGCAATTGGAAAATCCACTGGAGTTGGACCGTGCAGCATCTTCGATGTCAGAAGCAAAAGAGCGTTTTGTTTTAAAGCCTGGGGGGTGTATGCCGCAGTAGGCTTGAGTAAGTCAGCTAGTAAGCTTAAGTAGCTACTACCCAGGATGCAGGAAAGCCAGCCCTTGCACTATTCAAAACAACACCGTTGCAAAATTTAGGGCAGGAAGGAACCATGAAAAAACAGCATATTTTGTGAGCCCGTCGAGGGTTATATTAAGAGAAGGAAGGCGCCATTCCAACGTAGCATACCTTTTGTGAGCCACCCAAGGTCAAATTTAGAGAAGGAGGCCATTCCAACGTAGCATCGTGCTTGTGACCAGCCCAAGGTTAAAATTCCGAGGTTAGAAATGTGGAGGTTGAAACGCAGGATACGTTTGTGAGCCGCACGATGAGGGCAAAATTTAGAGGAGGAAGGAACCATGAAAAAACAGAGCATACCTTTTGTGAACCACCCGACAGTAGACTTTACAGCAAGAAGACAAACCACTTTGTGAACCTCGGGGTGCTGATACTTTGGAATGGCCCCGTCCTCGTCCAAATTTAACCCTCAACGGGCTCACCAAAAGTATGCACAACAAAAAAATAAAAGAACACAACAAAACAAATAATCTGGGGCCACAATATAGTATACAGTAGTAATTAGAGACGTTTCCACTAACCTTGAGATTCAAGGAACTGACGCAAAAACATCCCGCTGAACCTGTTTGGGGCTTATGCTGGTATAATATAGATTATATAGGTTAAACCAAATTTTAAAATTGTGGTTTGCCCGCTTAGCCGCTTTTGCTCTCCAGCTGATGCTGTTTTTATTCTATTTTTCAAGAACCAGCTAAGGCGTTGCACTGCGTTTTTGGGGTGATTTCAGTGTTCTTTTTCTTCATCAAGTACTTGATAGAGACTGACCAACCTCACCTTGGACTTGCGCGAGCCTATCTTTCTCAATTGGACGCATTTTCGAGTGGCATCCATCCACACTTGCTAGACAAGTGTGGAGCTTAGCAGTCGACAGAGCTGTTTCGAGTCAAATAGTCGTCACTGTGCTTTTGCCTGAGGTCTGATTGGCTTGTGAAGGACTCTCGCATTAATGCATTGAGAAGGGCCGTGCTCACCCGCTTGCCTAAAGATGAGGATAACACCTGGATGGAATGCGGGCAAGCGACACACACATGTTTAGCATTTGCGAGCTTGAAGATGTGGCTTCAAGTCTGGTGCGAAAATTTCAGGAGTCGAAGAGACCGAGGATCTATGTTTACGGCAACGATGTTCCTGAAGTCCAGGAACTTTCTCAAGGGGCCTCCTTTTGCGCGAAAGGTCAGTGGGGCATGGAGGCACGATTGCATCATCACGGCATGTCAAGAGGAATCAAGAGGTAAACTTGACAAGGACGCTACTAGGGGCTCCTGGCCTTACTACTAGGAGCAAAGACGCTACTAGGGGCTCCTGGCCATACGACTAGTAACAAGAAGCTATTAGACACAAGAAATTAACATAGAATTAAGGGTTTAATTAGAACTTAACAACCTACGCAGGTTCACATCCACGAGTGGCTTTTGGCCTCTCCATACCTGCCGCAAGCCTAGCGTTTGCAACCGTTATTTCGAGGTCCCTTCATTTCAGTCTACCTTTGCTTGTCAGGACGCGACACCCAGACGAAGCCGACCTCTTTTTCGTCCCAGCCTACAGTATTTGCATGTTTGAAGGAGGCTTCTTCCCGCTTGAGAACCTGGATAATAAGTACAAGGAGATGCTTCGACAATTGCGATACTTCAATAGAAACCGGGGTCGAGACCATATTTTCACATTTGGATCTGGGTTATCGGCGAGTGTATTCCGTTCCTGGCGAACAGAGATTCCTGAAAGCATTCAGCTCTCTCCTGAGACCTGGCTCTTTAATGATGTAGTGGACATGAAGGAGCCTTGCTTCAACACATGGCGAGACATTGCGGTGCCGGGCTATTTGCATCGACATGAAATTATTTCCTTGCACCAGGCTGCCAAGCCTTTGGCAGAAAGAAGCTATGTAGCTGTTTTTCTCGGCCGGATCGACTCATCCAGAGGTCCCCATCCGAGCCAAGGAGGTCCTGACGTGAGGGCGGCCATTCGAAGGCTTAAGGAGAAAGGAGAGATTTTTGTAGCACAGAATTTGAGTTTCCCAGAGATGCATGCAGTGATGGGATCGGCAAAGTTTTGTTTTGTGCCAAAGGGCAAGTCTGCCTGGTCGCTACGCTTTTTTGAAGCCCTTTTTGCCAATTGTGTTCCGGTGATTTTGTCGGATTTTTGGGAACTCCCCTTCGAGTCCTTCATGGATCTGCCATCCTTTGTCATCAAGTGGCCCATGGACCTGGTTGGCGACACGTTGATGGAATATTTAAAAAGCCTCCCTGACAGCACTGTACAAGAGTACATGGATGCGAGCAAAGCATGGCGATGTTGGTATGTGTACCCACCACTGCTGCACGAGCAGAGTATGGCCAAGTCCGACGAGCTCAAAGAAGTGTGCCCAGGACTTGATGAAGAAAATGCCTTTCAGGCAGGACCTCCGTTAATCCATTGTGTAGCATTTCCTAGTGCAAGCGTACAAGGTGAAAGCACATGCCATCCCACAGTCCCACAGCGGTTCCTAGGGGTAGCAGTGTTTGAAGACCTAAAATGCTCCAACTTGGAGAGTGTCCGGCGGCACCTAGCAGACAAGCGTTAAGTTGCAAGCGAGCGAGTGGGTGTGCAGGCTATTATGCAGCTCCTGGCTTCCAAGATGCGAAAGTCTTGGACAATGACAAGGCACTTCGGGCCTGGCAACTTTCATGAGATGCTTGAGCGGCTGGAGTCAAGTGAGACAAGCGAAACAGAAGAAGTTACTTGAGACAGCGTGATCGAAGTGGGAAAAGGGTTATGCGGCTACGCGTGAGTGTAAGCAGCCTCTACATTGCATGGGCCAGACATTCACAAGCAGCTCGATCTTCGACCTTTGCTCCACATTGGTTGGTTTCCCTAAAAGTCTAGGAACCAAATCATTTGTGCGAGCGCTTCTTCAAGGAAGCGTGAGATATCCTACGTTCATACTAGTAGCTTACTCCCTTACTTGATTAAGTAGTACTGTAGTAGGATGTAGTAGGCGCCTAATTAAGTAGGAGCGGGCCAAAAACAGGGGGTCTCTAGATCACTCATCCTTTGCCATTCCTCCTTCCGACCTGGTTGGATGGCCAGTCCCGGATCCGAGTCCAACGCTGCTCATGAACTTCGGTTCCGAACCATGTTAGAGTGCAAAACATCTCATCTCACCCGGCTTAGCTGAACATACCTTCGTTGGAAATGTCAAGATTTCCAGAGCACCATCTTTTGAACCTCACCCCCCTCCAAGTATATAAATATTATCTCAAGTCTTTTTTTTGTGGGTACCAGTCTTTTGGCACATTGTAGCATTTGTAAATTGTAAATCTGCGAAAAAAGGGTGGTCAAGTCAAATTTAACAATGTCTTGCTAGATTCTACTACTAGATTTTGTATTACACGCCCACCTCATCACCCCACCTTCTTGCGCTTCCGCGGACTTAAAGATGTCATCAGCATTTCGTCGCATTCAAGCCTCAGGCGCTGAATGCTCATTTCATGGGCTGTGATGCGTTTGAAGAGGGCGACCTGTTGGTGACTTTCCCTGGGTGCAAGGTCCGCAACTCACACAAGACTTGGCCAAACCTGGATTGTATATCCTCCAACATGTTGCAAGATGGTCACAGCCTGCACAGAATCAGGACCCAGCTGCTTGCAACCCGCTCTTCAAGCAACTTGGCAGCCTGAAGATCATTGCACAGGTGCTTTACAGAGCTTTCAGTCAACGCTGTTGCTGCCACCTAAGTTTGGCAATGGCATATTCCAACGGTTCCTTCTCTTTAAGTGATGAGCATCGGCAACTCTGATCGCACTGATATGGTTCTGACAAGTTGTTTTGACCAGCTACGCCGTGTCGATTCACAGCAATCATTTTAAAGCAGCCACTTGTTACCGCTTGTTCCGAAGTCTGTGCAACTGGATCTGGTCTACATAGTCTTCTGTGAAACGCGACCATACCGTTCGAGCGAGGTTGATCCCAGACATGCCATTCCTTTTGGCCCAAATTTCAAGGGGCCTGATTCCATCGCCGCAGATCCATGAAGATCGTCCGAGCTTTTCGTAGGAAGGAGAAAAGGCGCTGAAGTACGTGCTGCCATTTCACAGTGGTAGCGCGGAGCGTGGTTTTGAGTTCAGGAGGACCTCGTGACGCTGGTGGATGGGGGAGAGCGGTGAATCTATGGCCACAAGCCAAGGGCCTAGTGCGAGCACTGGAGGACAGGCTGGAAGTTTTCGCGATCGGGACCCGCCACCTGGTTATGACGGGGAGCAGCCTGAGTTGACTTTCAGGCAGTTTCAAAGGCAAGTCCGCTTGTGGGAACACGAGACGGATCTGCCGTTGGCAAAGCGCGGCGTCAAGCTTTTGCGGCAGCTGACAGGAGCTGCTGCGCTGGCCGTGGAGGACCTCGAGATCGATTTGATCATAGGCGAGCGTGGCGTGAAGAATGTCATGGCCCAGCTGGAGGCCTACTTCCTTCCGCACTTGGAGGTGTCGTTGCCGCGGGCTTTTGAGACCGCGGTCTATGGTGAGCCCCGGGCCGCTAAGGAAAGCTATGCGGCCTACGTGAAGCGCATGGAGAGGGCATTCAACCACCTTTCCAAGGAGGGCGTCGACCTACCTGATGGGGCAAAAGGGTACATTCTGTACCGGCAGGCCAGTTTGACAGAAGCTCAAGATCAACGGTTGTTGACTTGGGCGGAGGGCAAATACACGTTGAAGGAGATCACCATGGCATTGAGGCGCCTCGACAAGGTGGTGAAAGAAAAGTCCGCCAAGTCCAACTACTTCGAAGACCATGGAGAAGAGTTGGAGCTTGAAACCTATGAGATGGAAGAGCTCTACGGTGGCCAGGCGGACGACGACGAGTATGTGTACGTGGCGGAAGGCGACCTGAACCAGGTCATGGAGGAGGACGACGTGCAGGCAGCGCTGGCCTCCTACAAGGAAATCAGGCAAAACCTGAAGGACCAGCGACTTGGACGTGGCTACTTCCCCGGCGTCGGCAAGGGCAAGGGCTTTGCTGGCAAGGGCAAAGGCAAAGGCAAGACCAAGACTCACATCGAGCAACTCAAATTGAGGACAAAATGCCGTCGATGCCAGCAGATCGGCCATTGGGAGAGAGAATGTACTGCTCCCAAGCCAGCCGATGGAGCAAACCGCAGCTTCTTCATCCAGAATCCGGAGGCGAACGACAGCTTCTGGCTTAGGCAGTTTGTAGCTCAGCGTCGGGCCCAATGCGGCAAAGGTCACCAGCACCCGCCTGTTTTGGCAGTTCGTTCATCCGAGGAGGCATACAAGGAGCGCAGTCTTGACTCCATGCAGTTTTGCGGCATCACTACACGTCCTCATGAGGGAGTCGTGGACACTGCTGCGGAAGGGGGGCTCATTGGAACTGAACCGCTAGCCACCCTTCAAGAAGAACTAGCACGTCATGGCCTCAAAATCAAGTGGACTCCCAAGGTTTCTACGGCTAGGGGCGTTGGAGGTGATGCCAAGGTAGAAGGTGTGGCTTTGATTCCTATTGGCATTGGGGGGATCAATGGAACCTTGGAAACCACAGTGGTGCAGGGGAACGTTCCACTCCTTCTTCCGATCCGGCTTCTTCGTGCACTCGGAGCCGTCGTCGATCTTGAGAAGTTGTGCATGCACATTCGCAAGCATCATGTGATAGTCAGTTTGAGGGAGATGGCAAGTGGACACATCACGACCAACATTGTTTCCTTTGCACCTGGACCTTTTGAAGTACCAGTTGAGGCCGGTGAACCAAGTGAGTTTTTGATGCCGTCGTGCTATGCTGTAGCTATGCCGGCCCAACACCGATTCACGCAATTCGACTCGTTGAAGACCGCCCAAGCCAACCTCTACCATGGCGGCGCTGCTGATGAAGGCAAAGCAACTGGTTGGCGTGCGCCCTACCATCGACCCGGAGCCGATGGATGCGGATCCACCTGTGGTGCGTCCGCGAGTGGCGCTTCGAAACTGGCGGATGATCATGGACAAAGTGATCACTCTCCTCACTCTGGCGGAGCTCCAGTCCGCCACAGAGGCCTGGTGCTTGGAGCTAGCCTTGCCGCGGCCATCGCATTCGCAGGCAGCCGAGACCATGGAAGACTTCTACAACCAGGTTATCCAGCGAGCCAACCCATTGGCACCATTGAAGTCCAAAGTGGCGCCCAAGTATGCAATCAGCGCATGTGTGCACCGCAAGGAGGCCTTGAAGGGTGGGGGAAACGGCAGCAGTTCGTACATTGTGTGCAAGGACTGCCATGCTCGTTGGGCGTTGGATCAGAGGGCTGCGGATGTCCGGAAGCAGCTCAAGCAAGGCCCCTTGAGCCTTCAAAAGAAGAACCCGGCGGCCATCGCGGATGCAACCACCTCGACCTATCCGAGCTCTACGGCACCTACGACTCCGGTGAGGCCAACACGAAGTCAAGGCAGGGTGCCAGAAGCCAATTGGACCCAAGTCCCACAAATGCCAGCTATGAGTTCTTCCCCGGTGACGCCAGAGCAGCTGGAAGAATGGAGAGACACCATGATGAAGCAGATGGACTTCCGCAACCAGCTGATGTTCCAAGAGATGCAGAACCACCAGGCGGCAGCAATGTTGCAACTCACCGAGAAGAGCCTGGCACAGTCCGTCAACCTCAGCGAGGAAGTCCAGCAGGCGATGAACTCGGCTCGGGAGAGAGAACTTCGGCAGGAGAAGCTCATGCAGATGCTGATCCACTCTCAGGAGGAGAAGTCCAACGTGCCGACTCCGGAGGCTACTCCGGTTCGAGTGGCTTCAACGGGGGCAGCATCACTGCGGCTGTGCAAATGCGGGAAGACCGCCGAGAAGCTGAGGGTGAAGGCAGCCGACAACCCACGCAAGGGCAGAGAGTTTTGGAAGTGCGTGCAACGCCAATGCGACTTCTTCGAGTGGGAGCCCATGCTGAAGAACGAGGAGGAAACCCGCACCGTGACGGGCTCTCAGAGGTCCAGACACTCCAAAAGCCCATTGAGAACTCCGGGAACTCACAGTCCACGGAGAGGGAAGAGCCCCAGGCGGACCGAGGACAGCTGGAGCCAAGTTCCACCGATGCCGGGAACGGCTCAGACGGGATCTCAGGTGCCAATTGTCGACCTGTCCTCGGATTAGAAGCGTCACACTGGACCATGTGCGGTGGGGCCAAGGCGAAAGGATGGGTCGTCGACTCCATGACGGGCAAGAACAGGGACTTCATCGTCGACGAGACCTTCATGATGTGGGATGAAGACCAACAACAATGGCACACCGCCAAAGGGGCCCAGGCCTTCGAGACTGCACGGGGCCAAGTGAAAATTCAGCTTGCTCTCACCGATCGTGGCCGGCAACGAGATCTATGGGAGGAAGCAAAGGAGACCCAGTTCACCCGCAAGAACCGGACCACCGTCAGGAAAGCCCTAGAGGCACTTCACACACAGCTCAATCCACAGCCGCATGTTGGGGAAGTCTACTCACCACCCCGGGTGAGTGCTGCTGCCGAACAGAAGGGTATGACTGCTGGAACTTGCTATGATTTGTTGACCGGGTGGGATTTGTCCAGGGCTTCTCACCGCAAGGCCATGTGCCGTCAGCTACGAGAGGAGAAGCCGAAGGTGCTGATGATCTGCCCACCATGCACGGCGTTCTCGCCCATCCAGGAGTTGAACTACTACAAGATGAGAATGGCGGATGGCATGATGCTACTGTGTGCTGGCCTGGAACATCTCTACTTGGCGGCGGCTGTAATGAGG